CCTTGGGTCGGCCTCTTTGTATGGATAAGTCAACTACCAGGGTGGAAGGTTGGTTTTGCTCATATTTGGGTTGAAGTAAAGGCAGCAGCAAAGAAAGTTCCTAAGTTGAGTGTAACTCCTTATGGTTTATCTGAAATTTTCATTGATGTTGAATACTGTCATATGCCTAAAGTCTATGAGAAGTGTAATTTTTTTTGACATACTTGTGCCAAATCTCCTGATCTTATTCCAAGAGTTTGGGTGAAGAAGGTACCAGTGATTGGGGAGGCTTCGGAAGTGCAGGAAGGTGCAGAGCAGTTGGTTGCAGTTCAGACCGTGGAAGAAACTCTAGAAGAGCAGCCAGAAGTGGGGAATGAGGCCAATCAAGGGAAATGTAAAGAGTTGGTAATTGTCCCTGATTAAGTTGTCATTGGGAGGGTGGCTGAGCAGCCTGCCGTGATATAAAAAACTCAATGTCCTCGTGGTGATATAGTTGATGCTTATGTATTCACTCTGGTGGTGAGTATAAAGCAGAAGGTATGGTTAGGATCAAGTTCTAGCAGCCTATGGCAGCAGTCCAATTCTAGCCAGATAAGGAATAGAAGTACTTGTGTTGGTTTAGTCCCTCCTCCTCCTCCTCCAAAAGGGAGAGGTAGAGGGAAGAAACGAGGCAAATAAAGATTCTGAGGCTGGAAAATCAGGGGTTTTAATGCCCCTGATAAACACTCATTTGTTCGTGAACAATTGAGATTGGAGCAAATAGATATAGTAGGCCTGTTAGAAACAAGGGTTATGGAAGATGATAGTAATAAATAATAGCAGGTGTGTTTTCTGCCTGGAAACATTTAGCTAACTATTCAAAATCTCTGTCTGGAAGGGTGTGGATTTTCTGGAGGGCAGGGTTGAATGTTTCTCGAGTTGAAGAGGAGGAGCACTTTATTTAGATTTTGGTTGAGGACAGTAAGCCGTTTATGGTGGTGTTTGTTTACAATCCAAACAAGGAACTGGGAGGAAAATGCTATATCAGGAGCTTATGCTTAGAAAGGATAATAGTATTCCGATGGTGCTGCTAGGGGATTTCAATGCAATTGCTGAGGTCAATGAAGCATCAAATGTCCAACAAATTACTCAAAGTATGCAGTATTTCCGAACTTGGATGTGTAATATGGAGTTGGTTGATCATAAGGTAGCAGGGACATGGTTTACTTGGTGGAATCGACGGAGAAATAACCTTATTGCTCATAGAATTGATAGAATTGTTATGAATGAAACTTGGTTAGAAATTTTCCGTGACAGTTCTGCCCATACTAATCCTCCGGGGGTTTCTAACCATTGTGGGTTGATTTTGAATACTTCTCCAAACCTAAGAACACTTCCTAAGCCTTTTAAGTACTTCACTTTCTAGCAATCCCATCCCACTTACTTGGACATTATCAAGTCAGCATGGCGAAACAAGTTACTGGTTATCCTTACTATATCTTTTATGGCAAGCTACAGCAGGTCAAGAAAGGGTTGAAGGGTCTGAATCGAGCAGAATACTCTGACATCTCAAACAGAGTCAAGGAATCAGCAGTAGAGTTGGAAAAAGCTCGGATGGAAGTGCTTACTAATCCTACTGAGGAGTTCATTGATGAAGAAAAGCGGGTTAGTAAGGAGTTCTTGGCATTGAATAAAGCAGAGGAATTATATTATATGCAGAAGTAAAGAGTTCAGGTTATCAAAGAAGGGGATTCTAATACTTCATTCTTCCATAAAATTGTTAAGGTAAAGATTCAAAGGCAGCAGATAACTCGCATGTTGAATGAGCAAGGTGAGGTAACAACAGATATTCAGCAAATTGGGGCAGTTGCAATGGATTTTTATACAAAACTCATTGGTACTGAGGACTTGAATGTAGAACAATAGTCTGTGGCTTACTATTAAGTATTAAGAACTTTTGCAGCATACGCTTTCAATTGAAGACAAGGAATTGCTAATGTCTGGTATCTCAAGGGCTGAAGTAAAGCAGGCATTTCTTAAGTTTGGAAAGGATAAGGCTCCATGGCCGGATGGATTTCCTGCTGAGTTCTTTACAACTCATTGGGACATTATTGGCAGAGAAGTTGAGGAGGTACTATTGGATTTCTTTTCCACTGGTTTTATGCCATCTATAGTGAACAATACTATCTATACCTTGGTAGCAAAGATCCCTAGTGCTGAGAAAATGAAAGACTTTAGGCCTATTGCTTGTTGCAACACTCTTTACAAAGGTATCTCGAAAATTCTTTCAAATAGGTTAGCTCTATTGCTTACTAGTGTTATTAGTCGATCTCAAAGGGCCTTTATTAAAGGTAGAGCAATAAGTGACAATATTTTGTTAGTGTCTGAGCTTGTGAAGGACTATCATCGAAAGAACATTACTCCCCAGATGTGTGGTTAAAATAGACATAATGAAAACTTTTGACTCTGTAAATTGGGGCTTTCTTTTTACGATTATGGAAGTTATGGGATTCCCTTATGGATATCCAAAGTTGTTGTCTGCTTGTGTCACTAAACCAACAATCAAGGTGTCTGTTAATGGTGGTCTGTGTGGTAGTATTCGAGCTTGCAAAGGTCTAAGACAGGGAGATCCATTATCTCCCTATCTTTTTATCATTTCCATGGAAATCCTCCATTGTTTGGCAAGTAAGGCAATTCAGGACAACCAGATTCCTTTTCATCCTAGATGTAAACCCCTCAAGATTACACACTTGTGCTTCGCGAATGATCTGATGATGTTCACAAATGGATCTATTAGGGGTGTGGCAGGTATAAGAAGGTTAATGGACTGGTTTTATAAGCTATCAAAGTTGAAGTGTAATGCTTCCAAGTGCTAGTTATATTGTGCAGGGATACCACAGGAAGAGAAGCAAGCTATTTCTGATTATACTGAGTTTCTTCTTGGTGAACTTCCTGTCAAATACCTAGGTGTTCCACTCATTTCTAGGAAGCTTAATCGAAAGGATCGTCAAGTCCTTATTGACAAGATTACACAGAGGCTTCGTAGCTGGAGATCTAGACTGTTAAGCTATGCAGGCAAAATTCAACTGATATCTACTGTGATTGCAAGTACACGGCAGTATTGGCTCAACATTTTTCTTCTGCCTCAGTACATTATTAAGGAAGTTGAGCGTTTGTGTAATGAGTTTTTGTGGGATTCTGCTAAGAACGGGTCCAGAAAGAGAGTTGTCATGTCTTGGGATAAGATTACACTGCCTAGGAAGGAGGGGGACTGGGAATTCGCAATTTCAGTATGTGGAATAGAGCTTGTGTGCTAAGGCACATTTGGGAAATCCTGACATCAGGAGGGTCATTATGGGTTAGGTCACCAGATATAGGCTAAAGTAGAAGTCCATCTAGAAAATCTCTGGTTCTTCTGCTGGCACTTGGATTTGGATGAGATTCCTGAAATGCAGAGACTTGGCTTACCTCTTCATTTCTGACAATATTCCTCATATCCTTTGGGAGGGGGAAAAGATGCAGCGATACTCAGTGACTAGGTTATGGAACTCTATTCGAACTCATGAGCAGGAATTGCCCTGGTGGAAAATTTTCTGGGCAAAGGAGAATATTCCAAAGCATGGATTTATCCTATGGTTAGCTTTGCGTGATAAGCTAGTCACTCTGGACAAGCTTTTATCGTGGGGGAAACCATTAACAGGCCATTGTTTGCTCTGTCCAGAAGGTATTGAGAATATGGATCATCTATTGGTTTCTTGTTCTTATACAGGTTGGGTGATGAAGCAGTGCTTGAAAAGTATATCTCCTCCCACTGAAGGGGACTGGGACAGTATGGTTGCTTGGTGTGTGCAGCATTGGAGGGGGAAGAATCCAAGCCAGGTCTTATGCAGGTTGGTTTGGAGCTCGCTAGTCAGTCATGTCTGGCGAGAGCGTTGTACCCGTTTGTATGGAGCAAAGGGAATTAAAAGCCCATGGGAGTTAGTGAAAGTGATAAACACAGAAGTTTGTACCGTGTTTCTGGGGATTCTGTTCTCCAGGCTGAGTTAGACCATATAGAAAGCTTATAGTTGATAGATTCATAGAGTGGTAACGTTTTTGTTTACTGGTTGTAAAGGTTTAGAGGCTCATCAGTTTTTTTTCTGATGTTAGCCAAAGCTTAATGAAAGTTTTTTTTTTATTTCGCATAAAAAAAAAGTATACAAAGAACAACATAAAGTATAAAAACTAGACAAACAAATATTACAAATTAAAATGTATACAAATTAGTCATATAAACATTACAAACATAATAGATAAAAATAACAAACTAGAATTATAAATGATACAAAACGAATTGATACAAAATCACAAAACATACTTACAAACATTACAAAATCGTCCGACAAACATAACAAAACAGACGTTGTCACCGAAAAATCTCTCATCGCCGTCGCTGAAAAATTCATCGATGACGAATCTCTCTCTCTCTCTCTCTCTCTCTCTCTCTCTCTCTCTCTCTCTCTCTCTCTCTCTCTCTCTCTCTCTCTCTCTCTCTCTCTCTCTCTCTCTCTCTCTCTCTCTCTCTCTCTCTCTCTCTCTCTCTCTCTCTCTCTCGTTTGGGCACCTAGGGGAAATTCCCTTAAAAAGGTGGGGGTGGGGAAATTATTCTCAGGGAATGGCCAAAATAAATCCACGCTTCTATAGGGGAAATCGGCGGCAACAATTTCCCCGACGGGAAGGTTATTTCTCGCGGGAGGAAGCTCATATTATTTATTTATTTATTATTTTAATTAATAAATTAAATAATCATTATTACTACATTGCTCTTCATTGAATTGAATTAATTGGAGCCTTTGGTTTTAATGAAGTGGAACCACATCTTAGCTCGCGCGGGGCAGCTGTACTATTGGTCTCTCACTCCTCCAGAATATGGGCTCAGCCCACAAACTGAGAGGCCGGTTCAATTATGGGCCGAGATACCCAGCTTTCAGCTTTGCTTTGGGTAGCAGAGCCGGGCCCATAAATATTTTCCCTCTTCCCTCTCTCTCTCTCTCTCTCTCTCTCTAGTCTACAATTCGTTTTACAGAGAATCAATTTGTCATTTCTCTGAGGAGCCAAACAACCGGAGAAGAAAGAAAAATGAGCAGCCTATCAATCGGTCCGTTAATTCAGTTGGGATACAACAGTCGCCGTCTCCCTGGCAATCGAATCAGAAAATCCATCGGAATCCGGGCCGACGGCTTCCCAGCGAGCAAAGATCAGCAGGAGCAGCTCAACGTCTCCGTTCTCCGCTTCACATTCGGTAAGTAGAACCAGTCGTCTGTTACCTTTAGCTCTTCTCCTGGCTGCTACTAATGGCTGGCTGGCTGGCTGGCTGACTGGCTTGATAGGTATTCCTGGATTGGACGAGACCTACCTGCCGAGATGGATAGGATACGGATTCGGCTCACTTCTTCTATTGAACCACTTCGTCGGCTCCGATTCCGCCGCTACCTCGGCGCAGCTGGTAAGCGATTGATTTGCTCTTTTCTCCCCGCACGTTGAATTGTTAGTGCCGGAATTCTTCTGGAACTATGGGATGGTGGTGCAGGTACGGATTTCTGAGTTTGGTTCTATGGTTTTTGTTTTAGAGGACGGAGGGTTTGGGGCTTTCCTTGGCAGCTTTCTCCATCGCTCTTCCTTACTTAGGCAGATTTCTCAAGGTGATTTTGCTTCGTCTTGTTTTCTGTATGCTGTTAGCTGGAATTTACTTAATCACGTGTGTGTTGTGAATCTCTCGCGGGAGTAGGGTGCCACTAGAGTGGACCAGGTGGCTCTTCCTGAAGGTGCTCGGCAGATTTTTGTAATGTCGCCTGCCATTTCTGACGATGAGAAGGAGGAATTTGCTTGGGGGAGTTATGTTTTGCTGCGTAATACGAACACCGTAGCTGTGGTAGGTTGCATTTCGAGCTCAGCGGGAATATGATTGCAAGCATATGGGACACTAATTTCTTTGGTTTCTGTTCTCATGCATCTGTAGTTGATATCAATCCAAGGAGAATTGTGTGTTCGTGGGTACTGGAATGTGCCGTATGCTGAGGATGCTGAAAAAGCTCCTGTTCTTGATTGGTTCCGGAGACAGATTGAAAATATCGGTTTAGGAAACTTGAAAGACGTCCTATATTTTCCCCAGGTGCCAGGTAAACTGTGAACTAGATTCTTTGTTTTATTTCCTGGTTTCCTTTTTAGGGTGGAATTCCAAACCCCAGTATCAGTATGGTGAATTGGTGATGTCTTGTAGCAGGATCTGAACTCTGGGAGATGCTACCCAATGGGACTCGGTCACTGCTGGTGGTGCCGGTGCTTCAATCTAGAGATCAAAGTGGCAATGAAATAGTAAAGAACAGAGGGTTTGTTATGTTGGCTTCGAACATCGAGTATGCATATACTGAGAAAGACCGAGCGTGGATAAAAGTAATTGCAAACAAGTTCAGAGGTGAGAACGCTTGTTCCAAACTCTGACATATGTTAATTGATTTTCAGCATCAAGTCAGTATAAATGTTGGATCGATAGCCAACAATGCGTGCTTCTCCTGCCTTTTTGTGAATGGCATGTTGCTGGATTGTGATAGCGCAGCTTTATAAATGGAATGGTCAGCTTAAACAGTAGTGGAGCATCCTTAGTTCAGAATCACTGGTCCTTAATACTTCTCTGTGATAGTGCAGTTTTATAAACGGTCAGTTTAAACCTCAAATGCCAATAACTGGGGAGGTTGAACCAAAATTTTCGAGGATCAAAGGAACCTTGGATCTATCATGTTTAATTGCTCCTCTTATCCAACACGTTTCGCTAGTGTGGAACAGATATAGATTTAATATACTCATCTCTCTACTAAACAGTATCCTCTTCTCTGCTGTGTTCCCTTTTTGAAAAAGCCCAGTCTGCAGAAGACATGTTTTCTTCAACTGCTTGTTTGCTTCCAGTAATGAGGGAACTTTACTAGTTTCCTACAAAAATTTCTCCAGGCCGTACACTAGATTCTGCCACAATAACAATATGATGGTGTTACTAAGCAGTACATCATTGATAGCACAGCATCTCAATAGAGCAGTAGAAAGTAGAGAGGATTTTACCTTAAGACGGATCACCTTTCTAATTGCCAAGATTAGACCAGGCATAAGGCTCTGCACGCCTGTTATGTCATGCTTGACGGAGTAAACCTGTGGGTTTAGGAACATGAAGTCACATGTGTCAAGCTACAGATGCATTCGCATAATAATGTTTCTGATGTTTGACCAGATACAAACCTCTCCTGGGCCAGAGAAGTAAACTGTTGTGCTGGAAGGGAGCCCTGGTAGTACCATACTGTGCACCCTGACCCCATCTTCTCCAAGAACTTGTCCCCTTGCCTATGTAGGATCAAATGCAAAGGAGTAGTCTACTCATTACTAATTTTAGACTAGACATCACATCATATGGATTCAATGATCCATAAAATCTCACTTGGTTCTGCCATATTTGTCGCCAACCAAGCAACATTTTAGTTTCCATTGTTGTGATTAATATAAAACACTTTTCTAGTTTTCTTTTTATCTTTTACCATCATTCCAGCTGGTACTATAAGCGAAATGAGGTTTTCAGTACTATTTATCACTGGTATCTGTTCTGTTTTTGTTTTGAAATTCAGCTTACCGCAACATCTGTTGTTATATCTCCCTTGTTGTAGAACTGCCCCAGGTTGGAGAGGTTTTTTGCAATTTGGACAGCATCTGCTGATGGAAGGTCCTGCATGAGTGAGACACGTTTACATTATTCACTACTTCTTGCACGAGGTCGGTGTTCGTGAACCTTATTCTGTCTTCTGGATAAGGCTTGGAAGTGTTTTATTCATCGACAAGCTTTGCTGTATTATTTACTATACTAGCATGGCTGATGTTGGTGTTAATTACTGAAAACATACTGTTCTTACAGTTGCATCTGCTGCTGATTCCAGGATTTCTACATTGTTGTAGTGGAAGGAAGCTGAAATAGCTGCTTGCTGGAGGAGAATCGATCCGATTGATAGAGTTGGCGCAACCAGACACCCCTGTAAGTTTGCAAACCACAACTTGAAATCTTGAATCCAAAGCCACAAAACTTGATATTAACTGCAGAAAGTACCAACCACAAAATAAAATATGAACATTTTCTCACCCTGTGCTCACCATGCTGGCCTTATCACAGAATGCTGACAATGCCCCTACGGTGTCTACTTTAATCCGGGGCACATACACCACACTTCTCATCCCAAATGCCGTCGCCTGGTATGCAAAATTCGATCACAACTTAGCACTTAAACACCTACGCCGTAACCACAGTCTAAAAGCTCTCTCCTTTGATTTCACAGTGCAGCCAAGTTCATGGAAAAGAGAGCAAAAATACCTGCTTGACATTATCGTAAACCGTGGAAGGATCAGTGAAGTCAACAACCACTCCTGTCTCTTTCGACTGCCATAATATGCAGAAAGCTTCTTATCATCATCAGTTCTTCACTAGCATTTCCCATTCATGGATATGAACGAATGGACAAACAAGACAATCGCCATTTTACCTGAGATATGGAACCTAGAACCATGGTGAGATCATTTATCACTGGTATTTCCAGCGGTTCTTCCATGTCACAGAGCTACCTCCGGAAACACACAAAAGCAGGATGAAAATTCCTTCCTCCAATTCTTTTGCCATTGCCGAAGAAGGGAAAAGAAAGAAAAAACAGTGAGGAAAAAACCTTTCCAATATCTTCTCCGACAAATTGTTTGTCAACAGCACCAGCAACTTCCATCCCTCTGGCTTTGGTAACTGCCAACACAGCTGCCCTCCCTATCTCTTTTGCTGCTCCATTTATCACTACCTGTTTTCCTTTTTCATCATTCATACACTAAGGACTAAAGTGGAAAAAGGAAAGATTCATTCTTTTTTTCTCTCCTGTTAATAACAACCAACCCATACCTTGATGTTGCTCTGAGTAGGCTGAATCGAGCAGGAGACAGAAGAAGACCTGGCTTTCACATTCTTGGAAACTCTATGAAACGTGAACTGAAAATGGCAGCTCAAGGATTCCATAGCTTCTCCCTCCTTAAGCTGAAAATGGGTAATCTGCCACTCGATAGTCTTCTCTCTCTCAGCTCTCAGAGTAGCATGTGCTCTTGTGGTTCATTCTTGTTCGTGTTGGGATAAGGTTATTATTATTTTTTATCATCTTCACCAGTTTTTTTCCCCTCCCTTCCCTTGCTTGTTGTGGATAGGGGACCTTGTTTGGAGGGAAATTGGGGGGACAGTGACTCGTGGATGCTGGCATGTGCAAATGGGAGACATGGGCGGCAAGTACCAGTTGGATTCTGTTTTTTTTTCTTTCTTTCTTTTTCTTCTTTCTTTATTCCCCTTTTTTAGCGCCTTACTATTTCATGAGTGTCATTCTGGTGCCAAATTCATTGCTGGCTGGCTGTAGTTAACATGGGAGGAGAAGAAGAAGAGGCACTGGAGAGACACGTGATTCAATCCAGGCTTCAATCCTTGGTCGTCTCAACACTGTTCATTTCCTTCAGTGCCCCAAAAGACGCCATCAAATTCAAGGCGCCATCGCTCTCCTGGGTCATGATGCTAATTGGTGCCAATAATCGAGAGCCCCTTATCTGCTGACGACGCAGCAACGAAAAGGTGAAATCTGTGTTGCCCTTATCTTAAACAGAAGAAATAATTGAAGTTTGAAGTAGCAACAACGAGGGGGAGGCGATGAATTGTGGAAAGACAGTAGGGTGACAGACAGTTCAACATTTTTGGCGACGACGGGGAATGAATATTGGCTGGGCCGGCTTCTCTTATTTATTGCGTCATGGTGGGCTCTTCCGCCGGCTGGATTTGATGGAGACGGTATTCCAAGGTTAGATCGACTCCACCCTATGATTGTCCTGTCTTATACTTTTTTAGGATTGTAAAATCATACCATAGGTTGTATCGGAAGAAAATAGTTTTGATGCTGAAATTATGGTTTGGTATAATTCACCAATGAAAGGAGTGAAAAAGGGGGAACGTTATAGGATTATCATGATTCACAGAGACGATGATTAGTTTTTGGTAAATTGTCTAGTTTTGGTAAAAGGGTCAATTGTTTGTCCATTCTTAGTAGGTTTTCAGTGGGGGATTTAAACATAATTGATCGGGACAGCACATTAAGGGCACATAAGGGTAATGATGGGGGAAAGGAAATTTTGGGGCCAAAAAGGCCAATCTGGGTAGGGTTTGCTTCATGATAATTAATTATTTGCAGGAATATCATTTTGATTTGAGTCACATTATATTACAAATCCTAGCTAGGAATTGCAAAAACTTTGTGCTCTCATCTCCTCCTCCAACATGACATGATATCTATATGATTATCTCTTTCTTGATTCTCATTTTACTTTAACCCACATTTCGTGTCTTTATAGTTTTGTTGCTCAATTTCTTTACACACTCCTAAAATTTGGGGAAATTATTGATTCACTGGCAATAGTTTGAATCTGGGAAAAATAGGTGGTAGTCTCTATGATTTGGATCTGTGTCACTACAGTTATCAATTAACATATTTTCCGTAAGGCTGCAATTTATATGATGTTGTAGTTCAAACGAAACCAAAAAAAAAAATTCAGTTACACCCTTTAATTGTCAAGGTTTATCAAACAACGTGCATTGTTGTTACATTCTTACCAAAGTATTATGTCATACCTATAGATTATACAATTTCATAACCGATTATTTAGTTTCTTTTTTTTATGTATAGAAATCAAAGTGCAACAGGGCACCCCGGCTTGTAGTATTAATCGAAACGGGACTCACAGACTCTTTGAACATCAGAGTATAGGCGATATAGCATCAGAACCTCACATTACTACAATGAAGATTATGACCCAAATTAGCAGGAAAACCATCTGCATCACTGGCTTCGTGGTAGGTATAGTTGTTTCGGACTTCCCAGCCATGCCTACGATTGATGAGCATCTTGAATCGACGAGCGAGTTAGATGACATTGATAGTCACATCTATCGATATCCTGTCGCAATCACGATGGGTGTACTTGATTTAATCTGTATATTTTTATGTATTACACATTAGTATTAGATTAATCATTCCATGCTTAGGAGGGAGAGAACATAGGATTACTATTTATGTTCATTGTTTAAGACAGTGTGTTTGGTTTATATTTTATCCACAATTGACAGGTGAACTATAGCTAAGCTAGGGAGCTCTATTGGAGGAAATAATTTTGACTTTGGAGATAAAGAGATAACACTGCTAGCATTACACTTAAACTACACGTCAATCCTGTAATTGCAAATGGACGGCCACTTTCGAGTTAGCTATAGAGCAAAGGATATATTTTCTATCACTATTTCCCCCCATCAAATATCACTTTCCATTGTCATTTCACTTGATTATTGATGAAGATATTCAAAATATTTAATGAAGATTGAACTAGTTAAATTTTTTGGGGAGAAACAACGATCATTAGTAACCGTTATGGTACTAGACTGGTAGTTTTACAAAGCTGGCCAATGACAACATTGTGTAGTTCATGAGTGTGATAAATCTCCTTCAAGTAACCGTTATATTATTAACCACTGGCACCAACACTAATACGACTTGTCGTACAAGAGTATACTAAATGAGTTTTCCCCTGATTAATTTTTCATTTTCTTACAATTTAAGTTGAAAATGTTGTTTGGACGAAACAAACTCCTCTCGTTTATACTTTATATATTTGAAACAAGTATTTGTACAAGATGTCAATGAAACGGAGTCAGAAATCTGAAGGAGACTACGAGAGAGAGACTGATTTGAATTGTGATAATTGGAGAGAGAGAGAGAGAGAGAGTTGAGACCTTATCGATTTCACCTATTTCAAAGTTGAAGGGGATTATGACCTCTTATGACTTTAGCATAGTTCCGCCAGTACGAGACGTTACAACTTCGTAAACTATGAAAACCCACATCACCTAGAAATGTTTGCTCACTAGAAGTGATTGAACCCCATTGAATTGAAAAGTTTGTTCATCCTTCAACTTCGTGGTGAGGTACCATCAACACTACAAAATAAGAATTTGTTAGTAACTTAAAGCTTAAGAAGTGAAGAGTATGGAGTTAACCAAAATAAAAGGGGATGATCTGGTATCAGGTCATCGACTATGGAACTTTCCTGTAAAAGGGAAGGTTAAGGAAGTGTCCATTTGAACTACCATCCATAGCATAAATTAAAACTATCGTAGCAAACTAATTAAATCAATGAGGCCATAAGAATTGGTTGTCTGTATTAAGGTCATTGATCGAATAACCGTTATTTTTAATTTATTATAAATGTGAATAATAATATTAATCAAAGTTGGGATAATGGGCTCCTCGAATTGTTGGTGTTGTTGTCTTTGGTTCAACGTTCTTTGAACTGAAAATAGCAAAAAAGACGTAATCCTCGAAACAATGGAACAGACAACAGGTTCCTTGCTTGCTCCTCCCTCAGTTCCCTATTACATTGCATTAGATTAGATGGAACATTATTATTATATTCAGATTCTAAACGTCGAAATGATCACCAAAAGGAATTCAATTAGCCATAATGTCATAACTTAAAGTCGTGATTAAAAGAGAATTAATTAAGTTTTAATCCCAAGTCCAAAACGGAAGGACAAGAACATACAACCACGTGCTGGCTGTTTTTGACCAAGTCACATGAAACCATTGGCGACCCAACTGGTTTCTGTAAAATAAAATTGATGTTCAAGAACAACCCATTTTGTTCCAGGTTCTTAGGTTCCTAATCCAACAGCAAAACCTGCCCTTTTAATTAAATCTTCTAACTGACCACTTAATTTTTTTTAATTATAGCACTTCTCATTGATTAACTCTCTTAATTTCTATTAGTTCCCCTCCCAGCCCTAGGGGGGATCGGAGGAGTATTATACTTTTTTAATATATTAGCTCTGTTTGTCTAGTAATTGTTGCTTGGCAATGAATAAAAAATCCCAGCATATTTTTAATTTGTTTACTTAATTATGATGGAAAATTGTGATGTATGTTGTACATTTTGTGGCTATATATCTTAGCTAGCTTGGTAGACAGGGGAATATATTGTTGTTAGCGGTATAGCTAGCAAGGTTGCAGGAGAATATTCATAATATTTTTTAATTATATATATATATATATATATATATATATATATAAAACATGATCAGTAGGGTTGTTAGCTGTAGCTAAAACATGGATCTGCCATTGAAAATTTTAATGTTCTTCGTAACAAAAGGTCGATTACTTCATCTTCATGATATATACTATGACGAATTAATGTAGTTAGAGAAGAGAGAATGAATATCCATTTCTTCTTGTTCGTCTTTGGTAAAAAGCAAAAGGCAAATGTGTTCAAAGATTACAAGGTCTATCAGCTACCCAATATGCAAATGTTTTAAATGTTTTTTACCATACTCAACCGGTTCTGACACCCACAAACACTAACTTGATCATTTAGAAACATTCTTTAATTTCGAACAAAATATATATCAATAGCTTATTACGCAATATAGTGTCGTGTGACGAAGAGCCAATACATAACTCAATCACAGTTTAATTAGTCTACCTAGATTCTACACAAAATATGCATGGGTAGTTCGAAATGCATATCGTGTAAATGCGATATTTGTTGACAATTACCACGTTTCACAACATACCAACACATAAATATCAGTTTGAATCATCACGTTTCACAATATTTTGTACGAACCTTATACCAACACGTAAATATCAGTTTAGGTTACCGATTCACACGTGCATGTTCTGCACACTTTCCTCTATGCTCCGGCAGGCGGCACCCCCCCCCCCCCCCCCCCCCCCCCCACCATCCCTAATTTTCTGTAATCAACACGAGAGTAAAAGGAAACTGACTTTTAGTGTTTTTTCTTGTATAGGGACAAGAATTCATTAACAACTGACAAATCAAGATTATGTATCATCTGCGGTTTAATGCAATGAACTTTATTAATCAAATCCCCAGTCCCACAACATCATTTTGCAAGAAATTTCCTTCTAATCGGATCAGTAGGAGGTTACACTGTCTTAATCGTAATCCCATCCCACCGGCCTTCTCCAATCCCACCCAATCGCCGGAGAACAGTCAAATACCATCAACTGGCACGAATCGACGGAGACTGCCTCCATCGCACGTGCGAGGGCTTCTTCGTCCTCCGGTCGAAAAGTTACCCCATTCGGGGAATTTTGAATTTTTGACCGTCACCCAAGCCAAGCGTGCGGCTCATACGTGTGGAAGTGTCGGTGGAAGAAAAGTCAGAACTGGAGAAGAGTGTCCGTGTTGTACGTAAAAAAGGCAAACGCACAGAGATTAATCGAAAGTCAGAACAGTGAAAAAGGTAAAAGAAAGATTACACAAGACCGTGAAATCGAAGGAGGGAGGGACCCTAGATTCTGTCTGCGTGCTGATTTTGAGTCCACCGATGCTCGCCACGTGGAATTTGACTGCCCCTAGCCCGTGACGTCAACTGTTGCTGGTGACTGGCGAAAGAAAGAAACGGAGGGAGGGGGAGAGGAATTTCTCGAACTCTGCCACTGCTGCTGCTGCTGTTCCTTTTTCCGGTTCTGGGCTTTCTGAGTTTTTATTTATTTATTTTGATTTTATTTCCCAGTAGTTTTGTCATCTTAAATTACAAAGAACTTTTATTTATTTATTTGTTACAAAACATTGGAACAAGAGAGCACAGCCACCCGTAAATTACAAAGAACTTTCATAAGCTTGTTTTATACTTTTATTAGGGTTTTTTTCACAACTTGGAAGTGAACGAAACAGAAATAGGGGTTAAATTGCTTGGTCACTGAAAGTGTCAAAAAATTCACGTTTGATAAAAAAAAATTCATTTCGTTCGTAATCACTGAAAGTGGTAACGTTTCACGTTTGGTCACTCTCCGTTAGTTTTCGTTAACACCGTTAGTGATTTGCTGACATGGCTAACAGAAGTACCTAATCAGCAAATTTTAATATGCCACGTCACAAAATTCAACCCCTATTTAACTCGCCACGTCATAAGAGCTGACCCGCCCACGTCACCCCTACTACATAACCCAAACCCAATTCAACCCCCTCACTCGAGCTGACCCGACCGTTTTTACACTAGCCGCCTCTTAAACGTCGTCCCTCTCATCCTCTATCCCCATCTCCGAGACTCGTCTCTCTCTCCCCCACCTGCGTCGTCAACTCCTCCGCCATCACTTTCAACCTCACCAACAACGGCCTCCATATCCCATCCGCCCTCCAGACCAGCAGCCTACCCTTGACCTCCGAATCCCCCTGCAATGATAATTCCCGTCGTTTGAGCGCCTTATGGAACTTCGCTAATTTACCACCGCGATTTCGGCCCCCCCGTTCTCCCTCCTCCCCATTACAATAATTGACATCCTCTTCTCTGACAAATGGGCTGACCCTCCTTGCTCTCCATCCTCTCCATCACAATAACCATGTTTATCTCTCAGTCGGATTGCGGCAACTAACAAATTAGCCCACAACAATCAAACCGACAACTCTAAATTAGTTTAAACGGAGAGAAGCAATCGCTCTTCTGCTGAGCGAAAGAAAGAGAGAAAGAGAATCGGGGTTGCTAAGAGGGTTCAATCAGAGACAGAGAGAGGTAGGACCTTTGCCATTCCTTATATCGAGATTTTAATTGGAATCTCAACCATAGTAATTTCCTTTACTTCTTTTGGTGATGAGTTGGAGAGGAAGAACCTTCCTAAATTTTCACGGCCATCATTATTCTTTTCTTCCTTCAAGTAGGTCATGACCGCGATGTCGTTCAATTACGGCTTGATGTTGGGAGATGGACATTTGGTTGAGAAGAAGTGGTGACGCCGTCGGTCGGTGTTGCATAATATCCAACCGTGGGCTATCCATGGCTCATTTAAAGCTTCACAAAGAGAGAGCGAGAGAGGCAGAGAAAAGAGTCTGAAGGAGATAGCGTAATTGAAGCTTCACACAGAGAGAGGCAGAGCTAGATAAAAGAGAGAGAGGGCGGGGCGGGGCATTGGTTTGGTTAGGATTAGGGTTCTGATATGGTGGGTTGGATTTTGTGACGTGGCATATTAAAATTTACTGATTAGGCACTTCTGTTAGCCATGTCAGCAAATCACTAACGGTGTTAACGGAGGTTAACGGAAACTAACGGAGAGTGACCAAACGTGAAACGTTGACCACTTTCAGTGATTACGAACGGAATAAAATTCTTTTAGTGACAAAACGTGAATTTTTAGCACTTTCAGTGACCAACCTTGCAATTTACCCCAGAAATATGACATAACAAACTAATGATCTCCTTCGTATATGAAATTTGGTTTTTGATTTTCACGATTGAGAAATTGTAACGAGATTATCAAAGCACTTCAACAAGGATGAAACAACTTCAATAAACTAAAAGATGTAACAAATTTTAGTTTGCTAAAAATGACTTACCTTTTGCTATAATTGTAGATTATCACCACTCTACATGATAATTTTTTTTGTGGGTATTTGTACGTGAAGCGATTTTCCCCCTTTCTTCTCATCCTGGTATTTTGTCACCAATCTTGCGAGTTAGCATATTAGTTTTTGTTTGTTCTCTTTGAGTTTTGGTTGATTTGCATGATTTCTTCGAGTTTTTTTTTTCCTCTTGGTTTTGTATCGGGGTTCATTTTAATGTATTTTTTTTCTTTATTTTTGTTGTTAATTAATCTCATCATTCATAATTTCATAAAAGAAAAAGAAAATCTCTTTTTACTCTTTTGAATTTGCATGCAAGATGGAAATAGTCCCAACTGATTATCGCAAAGGTGAAAGGCCACTAGCTAGCTAGATTAGCCAAAATCCACGTTTGTTGATATTGACTTCACATTTTTCTTATCAATTTTGGACCCATATATCATATCATATGGACAGACAGCCTAACCATCCTATTCAACCCTCACTTGCTCTTCATCTTTGGAAGGATTATAGTTTATTTATTCCTTCCGTGACAACCCCACTTGCAATAATTAATTAATTTGTTTATTTGCCAAAACTTACAAAGCTTAATTAATTAGCATCCACGCTACCCCCCTCGGTTAAACACACCGTTTATGTTGGAAGGTCTACGTCACTGATCCCGTCGCGTTTGCTTGCTTCTTTCCTGTACGGACATCGAAACGACAGCGCAGTAAAAGGAACCGGCAGTTCCGACCGCACTTCCGGCGACGGAGCAGAGAGCTTGAAGGCTCAAACCAAACCCAACAAACAAGCAAAGACTTTCTGACGAATCATTTTACCTACTGGGTTGGCTTCGCTGATACAGATACACACACAAACACAACGAGACAGCTCAGCACCCGCCACATTTGACTGCCACGTGTAACCAGTCCTACTCTACTCTTGGCAACCACCACGCACTCATTTGAGATGGCCCCCACAATGATTAGAGCATCCACATTGGTATTGCATTCTCAATTGCAAAATGACATGGCATAGGTGTTTGCAATTGCAAAACCAATTGCATTGATGTTGCTACCAATTGCATATATGCAAACTTGCAACAAATGCAATTGCATATGCAAGTCAAAAAAGCCTAAAAAAATGGGACTTTTTATTTTATATTGTTTTCTTTTCTACTTAATTTCTATAATTTAAATATAATATTTAATTACATTTGCAATTGCAAGTTAATTGCATTGATGTAGGTGATTGAAATGAATGTGATGTGGATTGCAAAAAAATTGAGTTAACAATAAAAAACATAAATGCAATTTTTTTTGCAATTGCATTGATGGAGATGCTCTTAGGTGTCTAGGGCTCGCCAGAATTCCCCTACTTGCCCCTCTCTCTTCACACGTGGGCCTCCACGAATGTGCCTCCGTACCGAGATTCGGTGCGCCATCGCCTACGCGATCATTCACCCTCTCTATATTTGATCCCAAACCAACTAATTGCTTCTCTCTAATTATCACGTAAGAATTCGGTGATGCCTCAATTACATCATTAATCTACACATTCTCGTCAATTTGACCCAACTTTTTTTCTAGGTGCTTTTTACAAGTTGAATACGCTTATATTACATTATCAAAATCACGGTTACAAGAAGTAGATTACATATAAAAATTGGAACAAAACGACAACGGAACTCTAACGTCTGGAAGAATAATTCCTATAGAAAGAAAGTCACAATAACGATCAAGAAAGATTGAACTAAACCAACAACAAAAACTATCACAGATACCAAAGGGGTACTAAAGTGACGGCTAACGCGCATGAGAAGTTCAAAGGAGAAATCTAGAAAGATAGAGAGAGGGGAGAGCTAATTCGAACTAGAGAGAGCTTCCTGCCAACTCTTCCAAGTTTTGTTTGCACTTTTCATGTTACTGTGTCAATTTCATCATATAATAGGAGTGTAAACTCACTTAGGTCAATACGAAAAACGAACTTGAATTCGTTTAATGAATAGACGATATTAAAGAATAATATCGACATTTATGATGTGGATTTGAACTGGTCATGGTAATGAATTTGGTTTTGATTGTATACAGATTAAAATAAGCTTATCAATGTCAACGGAAGAGAGACCATGTGAGCTTGTGATCGCTAATTTGAGTTTTTTTTTTTATTGAAACCTGTTGATGTGTGATACTAGAGGGGCGGGGAAAATGGAAACAAGCGTCGTCTCTGAGATTCAAATTTGGGAGGTCTAGATTGAAAATCAACTATAAGACCACTTGACCATTTAGATATAAAATACAAAATCATATATTAGTTATTCCAAAATTCATTATCCATTATGTATCTACGCGTAATAAGATAGAATTTAACTGTGGCGACAACCGAGAAGGTTCAGCGGTCAATTGAATTGACAAAATCACGGCGGTTAAACGTAGTTAGCACTTAGTAGTTAGTAGGTTAGGGTTTTCAGCTCAGAGCTAAATAACAGTGGAGTTGATTGGGCGTCTGGCGGCTTCTGTAGGTTTTTTTTCTTCTTCTTCAGATAATTAATAATTAAGCAATAATACGCGTCAATAATCAATTTCCTTTTTTCTATTAAAATAAGAGGGGGAATATACGTATATATATAGCTCACAAGTCAGAACAAGAACAGCTCAGTTAGCCGTCCACTCGTTTTTTTTTTTATAGTTACTTCTTCATTTCCCCCTTTCCTTTCCTCTCTCTCTCTGTTTGTCCATCTTTCCCTCTGTTCCTCCGCGAAATCTCCAGACCAGCAATCCTCTCACAGAGAGAGGGAGAGAATCTCTGGAAGTCTACAGTTGTGGGATTTCGATTTCCACTTCTGTCTCACAAATTTCTTTTCCCCATTTCTTTGTTATTATTATTATTATTCAATCTCCCATTGATTTCTCCGGCGACTTACTCTTCGCCGCCGGGGACTCTTTTTTGAGAGGTAAATAAATAATAGATACCTGCCACTCCTTCCTCCCTATTTGTTCGCCGGTTACCACATTCGGAGCCTCCCCCGAGATCCGCCAATTGCCGTCGGTTTGTCTTCCTTCCTTTTCCGGCGAGGCAGGCTTCAGTTACCCTTTGAATTACCCCCCGGGAAATCGGAGATTCAGTTTGCTTTCTCTCGCCGTTGATTTTGCGACGACGTCGTAGGAGGAGAAGTAGAGAAAGGGAAGTAGGGAGTTACGCCTAAACCTACGCGTGGCGGTCGGGGCTGGGATTCGTGTAATGCTGCTGCTGGGTAGAAGAAGAAGAAGAGTCAAACCTTTTCCAGAACAGGGGAAATTAAATTCCCCTTCCTCCCTATCCTTATCTTCTTTGCCGCTCTGATTTCTGTTCGAGATCGAGTGGATTCGGGGGAAAGTCAGTTCCTTCCTAGAGATCTGAAGTTGCAGAGGAATCTGCCATAATTTCCTTTTTTTGGGGTTTGTGGTGTTTGTTTTCCTTGTAACCGGCGGCAGAGGCAGCCAAAAGAAGAAGAGATGATGAGAATGAAGAATAAACCACCGACGGCGGCTGGGGGCTCACCAGATTCCATGGGAGCAGAGTGGGAGATGAGACCCGGCGGAATGCTGGTTCAGAAGCGAAACCCAGATTCCGATCACAGGTCCATTCCTCCACCGACAATTCGGGTCCGGGTCAAGTACGGGTCAACCTACCACGAAATCAACATCAGCTCTCAAGCTTCTTTCGGTAAGTAAAAATCTCGCCTTTCTCCCTTTCTTTTTCTCTCCCGTCTTTCCGGTTTCGATTTGGGTTTTGGCTGAATTGGGTGTGGGGAAAAAAAAAAAAAAAAACAGGGGAGCTGAAGAAGATGTTGACCGGACCGACTGGGCTACACCATCAAGACCAGAAGCTGATTTACAAAGACAAAGAGAGGGACTCCAAGGCTTTCCTGGATATGACAGGGGTGAAAGACAAGTCCAAAATGGTGCTGCTTGAAGACCCAATTAGCCAGGAGAAGCGTTACCTTGAGATGAGAAAGAATGCCAAGATGGAGAAAGCTTCCAAGTCCATCTCCGAGATCAGCTTGGAAGTCGACCGCCTCGCTGGTCGGGTATGTAACCTTTTTTTCTCTTTTGATCATCTTCTTCCACCGATTGCAGATAATTCGATTAGGAAAACACTAATCCGGGCGTTGAATTTGGTGGGTTTCTTATAGGTTTCGGCTCTCGAATCAGTGATTAGTAAAGGTGGGAAGGTAGCGGAGAAGGATGTTTTGAGCTTGATCGAATTGTTGATGAACGAGCTGCTGAAGTTGGACGGAATTATGGGTGATGGAGATGTCAAACTGCAGAGGAAGTTGCAGGTGAAAGGAGTTCAAAATTTTCGATCCATCAAAAGCTCCAAACTTTAGAAACATTAGTCCTGTTTTGAGTTCCCATTTGACTTCAATTTGGTTAAAATTGTACAGGTGAAAAGAGTTCAGAAGTATGTTGAGACATTAGACATGTTGAAGGTGAAGAACTCATCTTTGGCAAACGGCAATGGAACCCACCACAGCAAATCAAACCACCATCAGCACAAGCAAAGCAATGGACATAGGTTAGCTCCGATCGAGGAACATCCACCAAGGTACTCCAATGGCGACCACCACCAACAACAGCAGCAGCAGCAGCATCACGTGCGCTCAGTTCGCCATCCCACGGCATACCAGCATCAACAAGAACAGCAGCAGTCATCAAAGCATTCGACTTCCGCGCAGCCGGTGGTTGTTACCACACAATGGGAAACATTTGATTCAACACCAGGGACATCGTCGGCTGCAGTTCCTCCGGCAGCAGGCAACAATAATTCAGCCCATAATCAACCAAAGTTCCCATGGGATTTCTTCGGTTGAGATTGATCAAATAAACTACAGCAACAGCAGCAGCAAGCAAGTTCTATCCCCGCAGTAGTACTTTGTTCTATTTTCCCCCTCTATTGTGCCTTGTTCTTTGTGTGTGGATGTGCTTTCTCTTGGGTTTGTGACACCTTTTTTTCTTTCTCCCTTTCATTTTCACCATTTTTTTAGTTTGGGTTTCCCTAATTCTTTCATGTACTTAGATTTATTAGCCCACCCTCCCCTTTTTACTTCTTTTAGCTCTACTACTATTGTCCAAAATTCAGTTCCACCAGAAATAAACATGGGGGGCTCTCTACTACTAAAAATGATAGCAGCAGTAGCAGCAGTCAAGTTTCTCTGTTCCATCATCTTGTTCTGTTCTATTATGGATGTACATTGGCAAGATTCATTTCTTCCTGTGGCAAAATTCATCAAGACTTTTTTGGGTTTCTTTATGGTGACTTATTGTAGCAAACTAGCAATATATTTGTACATTTACTTTGCTTCCTGGATTGGCTACAAGCTGACAAAATGGGGGTTGCGAGGAGCAATCATGCAACTACCCCAGATCAATGATTACACATTTGAAGTGTCAGAGTGAAATGATGAAAGGAAGTGAGTGAGTCAGGTCCTCTTTTGGGCCATGGCCTGAAGGCAGAGCTTGTGGTATTTCCAAACCCAGTAAAACCTTCTTGTTTAGGACATATTTTTGGGTATTAATTGCTGTGGTTTTGGCCTTGTGGGAGTGAGAGAGAAAGAAGAGCTATAATGGGTTTGGTTTTGGACCCTCAACCTGCCGAGCAATCTCTCATATGAGATTCACTGTGATGAATCGTTTCGAAATGATTTTCAGGAGGCGGCTTATGGCGTGATTATCATCAACAGCCATGGTCAAGTTTGTGATGGGAGAGCTGGGACTCTTCTTTGCGCATCTCCAATCAAAGCAGAAGCGAAGGCTCTACTGGAAGCTCTCAAATTAGCTCAAGGATTACATTGCCCGATTACGGTGTGTTCGGATTGCCTCACTTTGGTAACAGCTCTTCAGAATCCTCTCCTGGTACAGCCGTGGAGATATTCTGCCCTGATGAGTGTCATGTCTGGAATCCTCTCCAGCTGGCCGTTGATCAAAGTGAGATTCATCGGACGTTTGCTCAATACCAGAGCGGACTGGGTGGCCAGATCGCTCCTTAATCACTCTCTCCCCAGTGACTGGGTTGTTGTCCTTGATTTAATTTCTGAGTTCCTGGTGTAACTGTTCAACAATGTTTTTCGGTTGGTGGTACAATACAAGTGATCCCTTGTAAAAAAAAAACTGCCTCCAACACCAACTGATGAGCCAACAGAATGAGTATATTGATCCCTTGTAAAAAAAAAAAAAAAAACTGCCTCCAACACCAACTGATGAGCCAACAGAATGAGTGCTGGACAAGGCATGTTGTTCTCTCTCTCTCTCTCTCTCTCTTTTTTTGGGGGGGGGGGGGGGGGGGGTTCTCTCGACCTATAGGCAGCAAGCAAGGCTGTGCCATTTGGTGGGTTTTGCTTCAATCCCAAGAAAACATGTGGCATGGTTCAGGGTTTCTTCAGCCAATCATGTGATGCTGATAAAAGCTGCTGCTTCTTCTTCTTCATCCTGCTGCCAAATGGGAATCGCACAACTGGACATCTGGTGTTATGTTTGGTGGGGGGGATTTTTGTGCTTGGATGGTGACTTTTCCTTCAATGGAGTGCTGCAGGTGTTGGTTTGGAGCTGAAAGAGTACAGCTCGCTTTGCCAATGTGGTGTTGATGAATGATGGGAAGATCTCCCTCGGAGGCTGGAGCTATAAGCTTATACGGTAAAGTACACTAATGGGGAAGAGAAAGAATGCTAGAAAAAAGGGACAAAAGATTAGGCCTTTTGGGGGGGTTAAAAAAATAGCTAAATAAAGGGAAAGCAAAACAATTTCCTTCCTTTGGAGCAAAGAGTTAAAATAAACTCAGCCACATTGAGAGCAATTGACCAACAACATTATCGGTCCATAACTCCATATGAAAATATGCCCTTTTTAAAAGTTACTAATACTTGGTATTTGGACATGTGAGATTAGAAGAGGGGAAATCATATTCTTTTTCAATATAACAATAGAGTTTAAAATGTTTCTAAAAACGGTACTTACTGAAATGCACATCAATCATCATTGTTAATATCTTGATAGTATATAGTGCTCTCTATGAATGTATAATTTAGTAACATCGTGTAGATGTTTATTTACCATATGATAAACATCATTCATGCACAATTAGCACCTTAATGAAAAGATCTATTTATCTCTTCCAAATATCAAAATGAACATAAAAATGAGTTCGCAGATTATCATGTTATTATAAGAATTAAAATAAAGGAAATAAGATACACCAAATAGTATTAAGTGAAAGCATGATGAATCGTAACCCACAAGCGAGAGAAAGACGTTGGTGTCTATAAACCTTTGATTTATTTGATTAATACGAACTAATGCTAAAGGTACATATTTATAGACTAGAAAAGCATAATACGTAACGTAATTCTATCCGAATCCTAATAATTAACCTAGCCCACTCGGCACCCTAACATAGACTCCTAATCCCATTCGGCCACCAACCTAAGCTCATGCACTAACAACCTAGCACCCACGTACATACCATCCCAACCCAAGCCTAAATCTGAGCCTAATAATCTAAACCCATAAACATGATTAATCAAAACACATAAACTAATAATCCCAAAGTCCCAAACCCAAAATAACCTCATCACAGCATTGAGTGGTGGGGTTTTGATTGGGGAAGCAAAGACGCTATAAATGTAATCGTCGTCGTCAGCTGTCGGTGGCAGCCAAATAAATAGTTTTTTTTTTTTTTGAGAAACGCCAAATAAATAGTTGGATCAAAGAAGAAAGAAGCAAAACAGAAAGAAAAGGAAAGGTGAACGATTCATGGGGTTGGTTCACTTGGTTGCTGGGTTCGGTTGGGGTGTTTGGTTGATTTGGTTATTTGTAAAGCAACTCCACAAACAACAAGCCTTAAGGTCCGGTCCCTCCACCGTAACTACTTCGGCTTCCATCCTTTAGCCTTTACGCAACTACATACTTTCCTGCTACGTATAAAAAGGTGGTTGTCAGTATTTTCCTTCTTTGTACTTCCATGTTACTGCGGCTGCTCCGAATGAACAAAACTCCTCGTGACCGACTCCATCCGTAAATTTTCTTTTTGGTACTCTACTGGTTATATATAACAAGTTGTTTAGAGAGCTGCCTTGTTGTTAAAGGATTCAAATTTGAGTTAGCTTCCGCTCAATTTGTCGGGCTCACAGGTGTATGTATTGATCCGATGGCTCGTTGGCCGTTTTGCTCTTTTCTTCTTTCATTTGTTGTTTGATGTTTCTTCTTCTTGCTGTGGTTGTTTTGACTTGAACTCTCTGTTTCGTTTGTCTCTGCTCCTATAGTTGTTTAAACTCTCAGGTCATCTTCAGGCCAACTTGTGCTAAGCTTGACAAGAGCAATTTCAATTGGATAATTTTAATTGGAACGAAGCTCAAACACATTTGCTATAGCTTAAATCGAATTCGAGTGAAATGAAAACTCGACGCAGTTCAGCTCGATTGCGGCCCTGCTTCCTGGATGCCACGTTAATTTCCGATTAGAATGTCGCAGCTAGGAGTGGAGGTTCGGTTACCGGTTATCGTTAACCGGTCTGTTAAATCAATAACCGACCGGCTATCCACTAACCAATAACCGAGATAACGAAATTCGGTGAGTGTTCGAAGGCTGGCCGAGATGGTTTTGGTCTTGGAGGTGGTTCGGTTAACCGAAGCCTAAATCCCTATTTTGGTCGGTTGTCGGTAAGGGGTGTCGGCAGTTCGATTTACCGATAACCGCCCAATCAGTTACCGGTTATAACCGAACTAACCGACACTCCACTCTAGTCGCGACAGTAGCTGAGCAAATTAAATTACACCCCATTGTATATAATGTCTTTCTTCAGCCCTCTGGAGAAAAAGAAAACCAGTTGTTGTGACACCAAGGCTTTGTGGATTCACTTGGGCTTTTGTAGCTGTCGTGGCTGAATCCTAGTTGCAAGGGCCCAACCCAAGCATCCTCAGATGCTGGGCTTCACAATCATTTTATTTTGTTGTTAGCTGCACTGCAATTTTTCTCTGCCCAATTGTAGATGGAAACCAGCCTTGGCCCATGGGTATAGCTGAGCTCTGTGGGTAGAAAAGTGTACATATCCATGAGATTGAGCCGTTCCTATGTCAATTATTTTCATGCTGCACTACCAGATTTGATCGTTGGCAAAAGACAAGACACCAATTTATTTTAGTTCAGATAATAACTTGGTTTAAATATCATCACATACGAACCACAATTATAATGGCCATTATTAATGTTATTGTGCACACGATAAAAGTGTCCAGGGTCGTGTATCGTTTTTTTTTTGCATTAGATAATTCTTATTATCGAGAAATACAAGTTACGGAGTCTGAAGAATCAAAGCGATTGAAACCGCCCAATAAAATCAAAACCCACCAATAATAATGACGGCCTCAATGAAAGAGCTTTCCTTGCCACAAGATGGGCAACCCTATTCCTATTACGACCCACAAAGACGCAGTCAAAATGTTGGAAGGAGGAACGAAACGCCTAAACTTCTTGCAAAATAACTCCACCAAGGGCATCTTGCACCTCTCCAATCTTAACCTTCTGCAACACGGTCTGCGTATCCCCCATAAATTCGACCGAAAACCACCCTCTGTCTGCACACCAACGAACTGCATTCCGCAAGGCCAACAATTCAACCAGAAAAGGCTCATGAACACCTTGATAATGCCGAGCAGCACTAGCCAAAAGAGAACCGATCGACATCATTATGCAGGGGCGGAGCCAGGATTTCGAGACCGGGTGGGCTGAAAATAGATAAATGTAAATAAAAATAAAATAATTATTTTAAAGTATACAACTTTCTTTGAGATCATTGAAATCTTTCAAAATAGCATCTAAACTAAAAAATTTAGCTATCTTTCTTTCAATATAAATAACTAAATCATTAACAAGAAAATTATCATTTATTTTATTTCGCAATCCATTTTTCACTATCTTTATACCTGAAAACATGCACGATCACATGTAGCTTTGGAAACTTGGAAGAGTTAGAAGAAGACAAATCAACCTATCAACAAAATAAAATTCTTTTGACAATCATCTTTCTCTTGATTCAGACATAGATAAAAAAAATATATCATATAGTTTCTATAAAGAGCTAAAATTTCTGTGAACTAAATAGAGGTTGACTTTTTCATTTGTAGTTGGATTAAAGTAACAAAAAGAATGAAAAGGAGTGGGTTTCCGTTTGCTTTGGTGCAGGACCTTGTGGAGGAGAATTAAGATAATAAAGTCCAAAAAGTAGTTAAAGCAAAAATCAGGTTGTTGTGGATCAAACCAGTTAACTTCAGGCTAACGATTTAGCTTAGCTACCAGTAGACTACATGACTATTGCATGAGACAATGTATAGTTCAAACACTACTTATCCAAATTTTATCTAAATATCCTTACGGTACTAGAGACCGAGACTATTTCCGGGTGGGCCGGGCCCATCCTAGTCTCTAAGTAGCTCCGCCCCTGTCATGATGCGATGATATAGAATTGAATTATATTGGTACAACTGAGAAATTTTACAATGCTATATAGTATTGGTGCTATAGGTTTTTGCCTTTATGGTACAACTTAAAAT